CGCTGGATTCCCAACAGCGACTCGTATCGTTATAGTGGACAGACACGGAACACTTCAGATGAGAGTCGCTTTAACACTCTTGGCTGAACATTAATCAAAAAGTACTAGGCTGACTTTTATGGCGTTATGAAAAAACTTCTATAAAAAGTATATGTATTACAGTAGAGAATGGAATATAGGAGGCAATTGCCTGAACATTTCACAACAGCGCATGCGCACGAGAAATGCAATACTATGTGATCACGTCGCGTTATATTAAATCACAATTCCGGGTTCGTTAGAAAGTCTTTGATTTTCTTTACGGATAATAAATAACAAGATTATACCCGATGTGAGACGTGGTTTCGTTCCTGTATCACAGGACATATATAAGTCAAACGCGCTGATCTAACAAGTTCGAGTTTATTAGACCGGCAGCCCAGAGGCTTGAGGGTAGACGAACTAGGTACCAATATCTACGTATTGGAGTATACAGGGTGTCACCTAAGACTTATAGAAATGCTATTCTGGCGGGTACCCCCCGTTGCGTATAGCCAGGGGACCCCCCAAAAGGGTGTAAAAAATGGGTCGGAGCTAATACTTTACATGGCAGTGAAGTTGATGGAACTATAACGACGTACAGCAAACTGGCGCGTACGTTTACCGCTGCTAACTACGACAAAATACTTGCTTGTCATGTTGACATCCACGAATCATTCCAGTCTCTGTCATTCGATGTTCGGCTCAATGTTATTTACATTGGAGGAGTCAGAGTAAGCGGTGACAGTCAGGCAGGCGTTATGACTGTCAAGCACGGCAGTGCGCTGTGGCTGCTATGTAACGCAGACGGAAACCCACAGCCAGGTTATTCATCGCTTCACAACAAATCGCTAGTTCATGCAGAAGTGAAGAGCGTTTACGAAAGGAAACAGATTCGTTTCGTAGATGCTGGTGACTACGTATGCTCAGCCGCTAACATTGTAGGAGCTGGGAACTCTGCTAATTTAATGTCTGTAGTCGTCGTTGCTCCTTAACCAAATACATCGAATACGGTTCTCATTGTCGGACTGGTCATCGCTGCTTTGGTTTTGATTATTTTAATCATCGTCATCGTCGGCGTCTGCGCGAAGAGGAAGAATGACTCAGAGTCCCCTACTTCTTCGACGGATAGCACAACAACTTACCACGATAACGGTGGCATTGGTGTTTGGACAACGGACATATCCCACAGTGTACCGGAGCAGTATGAGTCGGGCCTGGGGAAAAGCTACACCCAACCTCACACAACCTACCTACGACCGCAGTACGAGCCCAGTCTCGGGGAGAGCTACACCTACTCTGATATCTTACCTGAAGACTCTAACAGTCAGCGCGCCTCGCTAGTAAGTGGCGCTGGTTGGATGAGAGGAAGCGACGACGACGCTGCCTATGTTATTCTTCCCATGAGATCGTTAGGTTATGGTCAGGGCTCTGGTAACGATTCTAACTCTACGCATTCACCCAGTCGCTGGATTCCCAACAGCGACACGTATTGTTATGGTGGACAGTCACGGAACATTTCAGATAAGAGTAGCTTTAACACTCATACATTTGGGGAGAGCTACACCTACCTTGATATCCTACCTGGAGACTCTTACAGTTAGCGTGCCACGCCAGTGGATGGCGCTGGTTGGATTAGAGGAAGCGATGACGATTCTAACTCTACGCATTCACCCAGTGGCTGGATTCCCAACAGCGACTCGTATCGTTATGGTATAACACTTCAGATGAGAGTAGCTTTAACACTCTTGTCTGAACATTAATCATAAAGCACTAGGCTGACTTCGATCGCGTTATGAAGAAACTTCTATAAAAACTATATATATTAAAGTAGAGAATGGACTATAGGAGGCAGTTGCCTGAACATTTCACAACAGCGCACGTCCTGTTGCATTAACACGAGAAATGCAATACTATACGTGATCACGTCGCGTTATATTAAAACACAATTCCGGGTTCGTTAGAAAGTCTTTGATTTTCTTTACGGATAATAAATAACAAGATTATACCCGATGTGAGACATGGTTTCGTTCCTGTATCACAGGACATATATAAGTCAAACGCGCTGATCTAACAAGTTCGAGTTTATTGTTTGTCTTAACAATATAAGATTTGTGTTTATTGTTAGTTTGTAATTACATCATAAAGCACCGTAGTCTATGTACATTACTAGAAACTGGGCTGATATATAGATCGTACTCCTACGCCTCACTATTAGGACGGGTTGTTCTTGGGACGTTGTATATTACATTGCATGAAAGCTACGTGATGAGTGTGGGAGGCCGTCAATGGACAATCTTATAGAAAGATACTGAGGGATGTATATGAGAGTGGTATATGAGTGTGTATATGAGAAGGTAACATTACTCGTTATACGGGAGTGTGTAAATTACACACAGGCTCCGACTCTCTCTCTCTCTCTCTCTCTCTCTCTCTCTCGCGCGCTCTCTCTCTCTCTCTCTCTCGCGCGCGCTCTCTCTCTGTCTCTTCCTCTTCTCTCTCTCGCGCGCGCTTTCTCTCTCTCTTTCTCTCTCTCTGACTCTCTTGCTATCTCTCTCTTGATGAGTCTTTCTTCACTCTCGTTCTCTTGTTTATACCCCCAGCTTGGTCGGTTTATTATCATTTGTCAACTTTGTCACGGCTATATAGGTGTTGTACAACAGTAGAAGGCGTCGGTTGTATTGTAGGGGCTGCGTGTCAATTACGCAAAGGCACTTCAACAATTAAGTTAATGTTGTTATTGTGATGACATGGGACGTCGTGCTCGTATATACGTAGCCCCACCGCCTAAGATTACATTCAATTTCGCATTAATATGTTACTGATAGTAGAAGCAGCTGGTAAGTTCCAGGAAGGGTAATCTTAACCGATTACCTGCAGCTATCATCTGGCACGAGGCGCGTCGGCCGGTGTAGGATAGCCGAACGGCCTGTATATATATATTGGTTAGATGCGAATATCCAAATAAGCAGTCGCGGACCAAACTGTTGGGTACTAACGATAATCCTTAGCCTGCGAGGTCACATTGTCTAGGAGAAGAAAAACTCTGCTATCAAACCACCTGCTGCCTTGCAGAGCTAGTGTGCCTTTTTAGGCAAAGGCTAGGGCCCACTATATACCGATAATAGTGGTTGGTGTTAGAGGTCGGCCGTTCGGAATGTGGCGGCTCTTTCCCATTTTCGATGTTTATAGTTGATAAATTTACCGTTTATCGTTTACCGTTTGCGCAACCAGCTTTACTGCTGCCATTGTTAACCCTGCCCGCATGAAATAACTGACGCCCACGTGTTTATCGGTTCACGCGTTGACTATCAAATTGCGGTTGAAGGTTTGCAACGGTGATTCATATAATTATGACAAGACGACACAAGCGTGCACGCGGAGGTACGTTTATCTATTATGATTCAACTTGACATCTAGCGTATAATCAGACAAGTGCAATGTTCGATTAAAGCTCAGAGTTATTTATAACTCTTAT